ATAAAAACAAATTCACCCACAAAACTTTTGCCATGAACAAATTATTCAAATTTAACGTGTGATGCCGGATTACATTAATAATTCATTAACAATGAACTTATCAATGATACAAGTAGTTAATGAATTGCTATCATATGACGTTACATGTTAAATTTTGGATGATTTAATCGTTCTAATAAAAAATTTTATAGATGAATTTGTTTTTACTGTCTAACTTTAAGATGAATTTAGACTGCATTTTTTTAATTATTACATATTCAAAAAAAGGAGACATAAATTAGTCATAAAATAATTATAATTAATTGAAAGAAGAAATTAATGTACCTCACTTAATTATATAGCTAGGGCTTTCTCCGAATGACCTAGAATGATGAGAGAAACGATGTGCTAACCCCAAAACTTCTTCATCAATTGCGTGCAAAATGAAAACCAAAATGCAAAAAAAGTTACAAAGAAGAAAAGGAAAACAATATATGAGTATATAAAATGCTTTTGAGAGAGGAAAATATATAGGAATTAAATTAAAAAAATGTCACCTGCTAACCTGAAAATTGTGCTTCTTTAATTTGAAGGTTTTGAAAAGATAAAAAAATGCGGAGTGCAGAATATGTTGTAGATTTTACCAAAATGATGATGCAATCTGTAAAATAGAGTACATAGCACCAGATGGTAAGTGTTACTAAATTCATTTAGTTAATTAATGGATAAAATCAGAAGGCAGAAAAGAAATATGATGAGAAGGTGAAAAGCAGCATACCATTCCTAAAGCCCCAAATGTATAAACATGAAGCTTATTATAATCAGTTGCACAACAAAATATATATGGGCGATGAAGAGGAGGATCGAGGCAGCTGTGAAAGTGGAGATGAAACTGGAACAATAAATTTTTTACTTCATTCCACTCTATCAATTTCAAAATATAAGTAATTTGATTTATTATTTTATCTATTTCAAAAAATATGTCGTATGATTTTTTATATGTATCTTTAGATGATATTTTTTATAGTACATGTCGACATTAATAATCATTAAAAAAATTTTATCACATTAATATTCCATAAGAAATATAAATAAAAATTTTAATTATATATTATTCATATATTATAAAAATTAGTTTAAAAATATATGAAAAAAAAATTAAACGATTTATATTTTCAAAACAGAGGGAAAATAATACCAGATTTTCAGAAGAATTTGGCGTACTTAAAACCCGAGATTTTTTATACACTTCTTCACATTTAGTATATACTAAAGTTTAATAAATTAGTGATGAAATTAGCGAAGCATATATTAAAATAAAGGATTTGGAGAACAAAAAAATGAATATAAAGAAAAATATACAAGGATTCAAAATTATACCAGTTCGTCTAGAACTTGGTCTTCTTCTTTCTAGAAGGTTTGAGAATAAAAAATGCAAATCTTACCAAAATGATGTAATCTGCAAAAAAAATAATACAATTTGAGATGATAAGTGGTACGTACTAAACTGTACAAAAAAAATCAAAAGCCTGAAAAGCATGTTTGGAAACGCAAAAGAGGACCGAACCATTCGTGAAGCCAATCGAACGTGAGGGCTGAAGCTCATCAATTGCATAAGAAAATATGGGAATGGAGAGAAGAAGGCAGTAAAAGAAAGCAAGGGGAGAAGGAAGGCAGTGAAAGGAAACAAGTGGGAAAATATGACAGT